CTTCTTACTAGATATAGGGTACGCGGATATATCTAAGAGGGGACAACGTGACGCGGGAAGAGCTAGACAGTGAGTAATTGAACTGCAGTCACGGGGTATTGTTGAAGTTAACGTTCGTTCGTTATAGTATTTGTTTTAGCGCGAGTATTGAGATTAAGTGTATCGCAGAGTTATATTCGGAAAGAATAAACCAGTTTTATTAAGTAAAGACTTGTGTCGCTTAAGTTTCGTCGGTACGAAGTTACGGAAAATCAATTAACAAACGGAGACGTAACAGTACATTTCTTTTACTTATTGACACAGCATTGTTTTGGCAGTTGGAAGTCTTTATTAGTTGAAGCAAAACAATAATAATTCAGTAACTTTGAAATCATATATAAATAGAAATATGGAGGCTCTTTTTCTAACAAGAAAAAAAGTTGTTTACTTAAGTTGTAAGTATTGTTACGTCTCCGTTTGTTAATTGATTTTCCGTAACTTCGTACCGACGAAACTTAAGCGACACAAGTCTTTACTTAATAAAACTGGTTTATTCTTTCCGAATATAACTCTGCGATACACTTAATCTCAATACTCGCGCTAAAACAAATACTATAACGAACGAACGTTAACTTCAACAATACCCCGTGACTGCAGTTCAATTACTCACTGTCTATACACACATTACCTTCTCCTCTTTTATATACCAGCCTACCCTATATCTAGTAATTACTAGAGCATTCGCCAAAGTACATGATAGTTCTAGAAACGTTGCGTCACAGTAGTCACGTGACTCGCTGACGCAACAGTATTATATTGAACGCAATATTGTATAAAGACTCTCGAAAACGATTCCAGCAGAACAAACTCTCAACTTTCTGGTATAATAAAGTTTTATTCGCAGGAAATGATATGATTATGAAGGAAATCATAGGAACTGAAAATTTTATTATAAACAGGAATATAACGGACACTATTGAAAAGAAAAAACACACGAAAATCAAATAACTGAGTCAGAAGATAAACACTGCAAATCGGTTGTATTTATAATTTGTTGTGTGTCGTTATAATACCGTGCTCCAAAAAGACAAGTTTACGTAATGACTAATATGACTCTTAGGGGTCAGTGACCTACAGAGAGGAGAGTCGAATGTTTATTTCATGTGTCAAATGTGGGAGCACTGGGAAATTCAACAGACAAAGTAAATAACAATAATAAAACAAAGAAAGTGTGCTTCATATAATGTAATTAAAAAAATAATATTACGCTTATATATCATCAATCAATACTTATAAAAAGATCGGTTTTGTTTCAGATATTTTTTTGTTATTAAACATTTTCGTTTATATTGAGGAAATGTAACATTTTGTAAACAATAATGATTGTATTGAATACTTTCAGCAGTTTTTTTTCTATGCCAGCCTTTTTCAAGCTACACACAAATATATAAATAATAATAATTACACAAAAATATTAGAAACTCACTGCTTGCACACAAGTGGCGACAACAATACCCCCTGCGCGACCAAACACTTCTGGGAAATTAAGTAGTCCGGCACCCAGAGCCGCATTCACGAGGAGAAGAGAAGCTCCGTACCAGCTACTTCCTGAAATAACATATTGCTATTTTACATACGAAAAACAAACCCCAAATCCATCCTTCGTAAAACGAGATCTACTTTTATCAGTGAATATCTTCTGAAATTACACACGAACAACTTAATTTGTACGCTAAAATGCTACGAGTTATTGCAATTGTATTTTAAGCAGTAAATGTTAAATTTAAAATAACTTAAGCTTTTCTACTGGTCATATTGCCGTGAAATAGTATTTACTTTTCAATTAGTTCCAGTTATTTTCTTGCGTCTTGAATTTTTTACTACACGTTTAATGTTCACTGCGAATTAAATGTCATAATTTCAGACTTGTTTCTAACACGTTATATTTAAATTGTTTTTGTTAATATCACAGGCTCTCTTTTAGTAGCTAAATTATTATTTATATGTGTGACCGCTTATAACTGTCGAATTGCTGAGTCTATTGTTACCAAACCTTACATATACTTTTAGAGTCTCTCGTGGAGTAATACAGGGTGTTTGGCGTTTGGATCTGACCACGCCCATATATCATCTTTGGGGGCCTTATGTCTTCCCCGTGCATTGAACGGATATGTTTGTTTATTTGAAGTTAAGCACAAAGCTACACAATGGGTTATCTGCGCTCTGCCAACTACGGGTATCGAAACGCGGTTTCTAGCGTTGTAAGTCCGCAAACATACCGTTGTGTCATTGGGGGGCGTCAGTTTGTTAACCACGGTTTGATGAGCTCTGGTATAGAGCAAAAGGAGTTGTCGACACTGGATATAGCAAATATAGTGTGGTGGATATCTTTTTATACATTGTTCATTACCTTCACGCGTAAGTTCATAGATTTTTCCCTTTTCTTTTATTTGTTTAAAAATTTTCGTGCAAATTTACACAAAAAGCTACCTGCACATATTCATTCTTAATTTTAAACAGAGAGTTTAGAGAGAAGGCAGCTAGTAAACACTTAGGTTACTCTTATCTAACGGTATATTGGAATTTGACCACCAGTCTTATAACATACCCACAGCTCCGAAATGCAGAGCGCGTTTATGCGACAACAACACATGAGCCACGAATCTTGGGATTCAGATTTCGGTTCGCTAACTACTAAGTAACGCCCAGCCCAGGCATATTGTTATTACACAATCTTGAAGACCGAAGTTAACGTTAGAGTTTAGACTAATCACTAAGCCATGCTCGGCCCTAGCTTGACTACTAGTTACTTGTTGTTTAGCATTATTAAACTAATGCATTACACATTATCTTATTTTTATAAATCGGCGAATTCTGTAAACAAAATGTTGCGGAATGTTTGAAAAAAATGTTTGGTGTATTGAAACGTTAATAATAAATACTCCTTTTTTTTCTAACGTGCACATCGGAAATTTTAAAATTCGAAAGATCACTTTAAACATTCTCATAAAATGAACTTGGCTGAATTTGATTAATATTTTAATACTCGTTAATATAAGAAAACAACTACATTATTCAAAATCTTCAAGTAAAAGAAGGGAAGAATTAATCAATAATTATTGCAAATTATTTTTCACGCCTGTAAATAATACTGTCTAAGAAATACAATAGATGGCATTTTAAAAACTTTTACCTTTTATAACTTTGGGTGTATTTGTTGGCACATCTTTTGTTCCGTACTGATCTGTGGTGAGACTACTCTGAAGTCCTCCTTCTAATGACTGATTTGCTAATAATGGATCGGATTCGGATATCGAGCTTTTAGTTTTATACTGAACAGACATTGTAGAGAAAATACTTGCGTGAAAAATTTATTTCTTGTAATAAATAACAAAATATCCAATTGATATATATATATATAATCTGCTGCTTAAAAGAAAACTTGTGGAACAAATGTCGTGAAAATAAATTTCCTAGTTCACTTTTTCAGTCGCATTCGAAGTCGTGCTGACGCTTGCTTGTAATGTTCGGGTAAAAAAACAACCTTACTGCATGTCTAGAACAGAGAAGACATCACGAAAGAGTAAATATTAGCCAATAGTAAACCAGGATTTTCTTAGACGACCAGATTCACCTCAGATTATCCAATCAGAGACTTTAATATTGGTAGGATCGTTGGGTGATGGTGTACAAAGAACTGAAGAGTTATACAATAAAAGATGGCTCTGGATATTATAAGGCCCCGTAAACAAGTATACATGACGTAGTACACCCTCTATTCCAGAGATTCCTTATTCTACGCTGTGCGATATATATAAGATTGTTTGCAAACTGAATGTATTTGTTAAACAGTAAGAATCTTAAAGAAAAAATTCGCATTGTATTCTCACTGATATGCGGAGCTACATTCGCCAACGATGCGTACAACCTAAATTATATTTTGGTAATTTGATAATGTTCGTAGCTAATATAGTAAAGATAAATATGTTTAACATGATTTAATATCAGTTTACTTTTTACCATGAAATAATGAAAGCTTAAGTCTTTAACTTAGGCTTATGTGTTTCATAACGGTCTGTACGTTAAGAGGGACGACATTACTACTATTACAATGACTCTTTTTCTTTAAAGTTGATGAGTGTCTCTCACTGCAGTAAACCTTGTGTGTGCGCGTGTGTGAGGGAGGGGAGGTCACATGAACGTCTGTGGTACATTCCATTAAACCCAAAGAAAAATCATGTGTCTGAACCGAGTTGTCCCCCATTAGGTCAAAGGTATATTTATGGAATTTGGGGTGCGATTTCACGTGCGTAGACAGCTTTATGATGAAACAAGTAAACAGAACTGAACCGATTTTAAAATCCGATTATTCATTGAATTATTTAATAATACATTTATAACTAATCATTACTAAAATCCACTAAGTTCAACAAAACAGAAACGTAAACCAAAAAGAAAAAAAAGAAATTAATATTACACGCTTGTGTCTGTTTTTTTTGCATATCTCGGATATTTGTGAATAGCTTCACAAAGGGCTAATTGCGCTAGCTGTCCCTAATTTTGATAAACTAGAGAAAAGGCAGCTAATTAACAGCACCTACCGCAAACTCTTAGACTAATCGAATAATGTGATTTCACTGTCACTCTTATAATGCATTATTGGCCAAAAGGTGTGGCGTGCGATTTTTTGACAAGGAGACCCTCAGATTCACAGTGTGATACATTAACTATTGGGTCAAGTCCAGTTCACACGTTTGTGCCGCTTCATCCCTCTCTAGTGTAACAAATATTCATTATTACTAATTCTTAAATACTGTGATAAGTTTGTTTGTTTGAAATTAAGCACAAAGCTACACAGTGGGCTATCTGTGCTCTGCCCACCACGGGAATCGAAACTCGGTTTATAGCGTTGTAAATCCGCAGACATACCGCTGTGTCACTGGGGGCACTGCGATAAGACATGCTAATAATCAAACAAAAATACACATTGGATACACTATGTTTCTTGTGTTTTTCACTGTCATAACATAAATTCGTCATGTCTTAGAAAGAAGGCAAAACGCAATCGAATTATTACTTTGAGAATGACTTAAAGAATAATCCAAATAATTATGACACTTAATGCAAATATCTCAAAAACGTATTGTGAAAAGAAACAGACAGAAAAAAGGAATGGATGCTGGACTAAATATTAAAGCTTCTTCTGTCTTCAAAATCATAAAGTGTTTAAGTGCCTGCTTTAAAGTGTCACACGGATGATATGCAACACCACGTGTAAGCAGTCAGTGAGGAAAACTGACAGTAGATGGACTGTCGTGACTGAGGGAGGGAGATTATGTGACTGTGGCAGTCTTTGAGGTGAAGGTATCATTTTCTTGACCCTCCTTTACACAGGCTGACAGGCGCGCTCGTCCACATTTCGTGACCTCACAAGTACAGTTTTCAGGGATTGACTTAGTACAATGTTTGAATGTTTAAAACTAACAGATGGGAATATTTGCATCTTTAACATGTTATTCTTTAGTTAACAAAGCCATTCAGTGGCTCAACGCAAACTCTGAAGGCTCGTAACGCTATGAACCGAGTTTCGATACCCGTGGTAGACACGGCGCAGATAGCTTATTGTGTTGCTTTACGATTAACAATAAAAAAAGAAACAAATTATATTTAGTTCACAAGATCAACGTTTCAATCGTAATTCTGGAAGTTACTGGTTCTGCTAGTTTGACAATAGAAATCTCCAGAACAACAAAAACGAAAAAAATAATACTTGTACTTTTCAATAAATGTGTTTGTTATGAATTATCAGGTCAAAAACATTTGAAAATTCTCATATGTGCTAAAGGCAGTTATGGCAGTTTCTTGACCTTGCTTCTCCACCTTCAAACGTAATTTTAATTAATGTTGATAGCTAAGAAAGTGATTTACAAATTACGAAAACTACATTTGTATTATTAATGTAAAGGAATTATAGGTGTCAGTGCGTTTTTTAATTTAAATAAAATTATAATCATTTTCTGCCTTTATGTAACGTAATACATCTCGATTTTGCCCCTAACCAAAGGCTAGTATGGTGTGAAGCTTAGTATGGGCCCACAGAAAAAACAAAAATTGAAAACATGTATAGTTCTTTGACGTATTAGTCGTATTTTCTTAATAAGTATACTATTTCATGTTGATAAAATGATGTTGCAGTGCATATCAACATCAAATTACTCGAACACTTCTTATTTTTTATACTATTTTTAAATAGTGTTGTTCCGAAATATGCTAAAAAAGTAAAAAAAAAGTAAAATTGTAGTGGAAACACTATGTTCCATAATTTAATTAGTCCGAAACTCTTATTACCAAAACATAATTGAACGAAACTGATTTTTTTTTTTGGGTGGGGGGGTAGAGGGATTGCATATTTCTGGTAATTTATTTAGGAAATATTATATATGAATATATGAAATACAACAACTACAAAAATGTATCTATATTTCTTGCAGCCCGGCATGGCCAGGTGGTTAGGGCGCTCGACTCGCAATCTGGGGGTAGCGGGTTCGAATCCCCGTCACACCAAACATGCTCGCCCTTTCAGCCGTAGGGGCGTTATAATGTGACGGTAAAAGAGTAGCTCAAGAGTTGGCGGTAGGTGGTGATGACTAGCTGCCTTCCCTCTAGTCTTACACTGCTAAATTAGAGACGGCTAGCGCAGATAGCCCTCGTGTAGCTTTGCGCGAAATTCAAAACAAACAAACAAATATTTCTTGCAGGACTTTGAGACAATTATTGCTTATGAAATAACTTTTTGTTTCCAAAACTTACGATCCAAATGGGTAGCGTGTCGGGCCATAAGTGTGTTATAAGAGTGACAATCAAGTTGCACTATTTCAGATAGCCCTTGTGTGGCAATGCTAATAACCGAAACAAAGCAATCGAAAAACCTAAATTTTTATGTTATTTATTGCTTCATAACTGAAATCTCGAAGCTGTTATCACGTAAGAAAAATCACGTGTAAATTGCTCAGTCCAAAGTGGGAAAGACCAAGGATTCACGGAAATTATGCTAGCAAACACATGTAGGTGTTAAAGGTCAGATACGAAATCGTTTGAAACGAATCAGTCCATATAAGGACTAAGAGTTGTTTAAAACAAACAACTTTTTTTTTCAACTGAATAACTAAATTCCACAGTATTCTCTTGTTTTATAGCCTTGGTCGTGATTATTTCATTCAAATGTGTTCATGATTTACATTTATGATGTCCGTTCATTTGCGTTAAAAAAATTTTGGGGGAAAACATATTCAAAACTTGAATATTCCGTTACGCTGATAAACTAAGGAAAAGACTTAGTAGTTTAAACAAATATTTTTTACGGAGTATATTTAAGACCATGGTTATGTTTCCAAATGTTTGTTTGTATTTAAGCGCAAAGATACACAGTGAGCAATCTACGCTTTTCCCACCACGAGTATCGAACTACGAGTTCTAGCGTTATAAGCCCTCACGACATATTACGTTCTTAGAACTGCAACCGATATATTTTTTGGGATGTGTAAATTATGGTGAATTCTATGTTTGTAAAACATAATTTTTGCTATTAGGTTTGTAATTGAAAAAATAAATTAGTTATTGGTTTGTACTTCGAAAAATAAAAATAAAATAAGAAAAATTGGTATGTGAACTCGTAAAAAAAGTTTCAGAACCAATGATCTCTTTAACATCCTCTAATGTATCGTGGCCATTACCTATATTTTACCACAAAAACAATTTGCTTTTAAAACAGGTCAACTAAAGACCCATGCCTTAAAATCTTGTAATGAGGTCAGTACTCTTATTTGATCATTTTGGCATTAAAAAAATGTCAGGGAGTGATCTACGCTTAAAAATCCCCAGATTTGATAACACTGGCCTGCGATGGGAAATGTTTACATGTTCTACAGTAATTTCTGTACGCTGAATCCGAAAATAATATCCATTTTTCTCCATCACGTACAAATTTTCATAAAACGTCATAACGCAATACATATAAGAAAGACCACAACACGTACTTTTGAGGCTAAAAGACGTAGACTTTACAAAATAAGTCAGAATAAATGAAGATGCATATACGTTTGACATCTATGTTCTTCCCTTTTCTTCAGTTTGTTTGTATTTTTGTTAACAACATTGATCATAAAAATGTTCATTGTGGTAAACGAAATAATAATTTGATCTAACTAAGAGTTTGTTTTCTTCTCAAGTTGTAAAAAATCCTTACGTTGTAGAAAATAAATTAATATTATTTTCGAAATCTGCGTAGCTGAATTATGAAGTTTAAATTCGCAGGCCTGTGTTATCAATAAATAAGAACATTTTATGAGGAGAATCACATAATTACGAGAATGATTTTTACGCTTTAATTATGTTTAATTAATAGGGATCCAAGATACTAAGTTATTGCAAAATAAACAGTAATAAACTGTTATTACTCTATCATTATGCATTTTAATACAGTATTTGGTCGAATATAATTCTTCAACTATTTAGAGCATGGTA